TTCTTTATTTCACTCTTCATACTTTTTCATCTTCCAGACCTTGTTTGCAATATTCTTAATGTAAAGCTTTTGCTACATGACCCCATCCTTATCATTGTTTCTCTTCAGAGCAATGCAGAGTTGCCCTCTCCTTTTCACTGCTCTATTCTTTTGCTGGGATGGAGTACTCTAGAGCACATTAAATGGAAGAGTTGCAAGGGGCCTTGCAAAGGGTTTGCCGAATCCTTTATACAATCCAATAAACCTCATGTTTTTTTATCCAGTGTTAATAGGTCTGAACTGACTGGTGGAAGTAGCAGCCACAACAGATCTACTAAAAGCAATAGCAAAGTTTACGCTTATAAAAAAAAAAGTTCTCTTCAAACAAACTGGCCAGTGGGCAATTTTGTGAGTTTGTTTGTATTGCCTTAAAAGTTCAATAAAATGTTCAAATGGAGCGCACAACTCCAAATACCCTGATCCCTCTTCCATCCTTGTATTCCAAATATTTCTCAAAAATTCAAAATGCAGACTTGAGGTATGTGTTTGGCAGAAATTGAAATTACCATCAGGATAGTGAGCATGCAAACTCAAAAAGAAAAGGCTTGTTTATTTGTGCAATAAAAATTATAGTGTATAAATAAAAAATATAGTGCTTGTAGGGGACCAAGATGGCTGCTTAATCCCGCAGCTCCTCACCACAGGGAGACATAAAGTGGCTTGCCACGACTTTTTCTCTCCTCATTTCAGCTCTACAGGGCAGCCCTGCCTCGCAGACCTTGCTAGCACTTCAACAATGATTAGGAAACCCACCTCTCCACACCGCCTCACTGAATTCTTTCTCCCCTCGGCTGAACGGTCTGCATAAGATGGCATCAAGGGAGACACAGACCCTCAGCCACGAGGCTCCAACACTGCCGAGGCTGATTTTGACAACATGAACAAGCTGGACACTTTTACACAAACCGCAGAACCATCTCCACAGCACCAGGCTGACAGAGGTAAAAGATCTGCTCCCTCTCCTACATAGTCACCAGATAAAGCTCCACTTTACAAGAGACAGCTGTGCATTGTCACTAATCAGGCTCTTTTAGATGAGAACTGGCAGCTTTCCCTGCTGGGGACCAATCAGCCTCAGAACATACCTTAAAACTAATGCTGCTTTCACTCCAAAAAGAGCTCCAAAGAGTTCCTCCATTAGAGGAACACACAGATACTTTAGTAAGGCAAATCACTGACCAGACTAAGGCACATAATGATATGGTAGATGCCTTTGAATGACAAGCTGAGGAATTACGCTGTATTCATACTAAGCTGGCGTAGAAGATAGATTGATCCAGAGGCGGACTGACAACTCATGGAGCCCCCGGCAATAGGGGATCATGAGGCCCCTGTGTCCTTGCCCAAACTCAAAAAAAGCCTTTGAAAAAGGTACCAGGGGCATCTCATGGGGCCCCCTACTGACCCCGGGCCCTCGGGCAGTGCCCGAGTTTCCAAATGGTCAGTCCTCCCCTGGATTGATCTGATCTGATTCAGCACTTATTCCTCAAGCACCAACCTCATCTTACTGTTGCTGATCGCACCATTGACTGGGCTCACAGGCTTACTAAACCACAGCATTTGCCTGCAGATGTCCCCCAGGATGTCCTTGCCCAAGTACATTTCTATTAAGTTAAAAATCAAATCCTCAGAGATGCCAGGTCTTCCTGAAATCTCCCAAGTCCATACACAGGAGTAGCCCTATATGCTGACTTTTCAGCTGCCACAGCACAACGCCAGAAGGAGTTTGCTCCATTGACCACAATCCTAAGAGAATGACACATCCCATACAGGTGAGGTTTCCTTGTTAAACTTGAGGTTACCTTCCAGAATCAATCGCCCATCTTTACCTCCCAAAAGAATGGCATTAAAAGTCTACTCAACTGGGGCCTCATCAATACTCCACCTCCTTCTGCTAAATAGCACCTAATGCCTCATCTTCAATTTCTGCTGCCATGCCCAAGGACATTACTCTTGTGATTGTTTAATTGTATGACAATCCCTCATCAATGGTTTATTGTCTCCAGTGGTAGGCCCTCTGCAAAAGCTTGCTTATTTGCTATCTCTGAGGTGCACAGGGTGCTAAGCACACCTACTGTTTCATTTTTTGTTGCTCACTGTTCTTCATTTTAAGCTGATTAGTTTCTCACAATTTTGTTGTTCTTCTCTGCAGATTGAGGACATGTGCCAAACAAGGTACATATGTAAACTGTCCCTGCTTAAGTGTGGCCAGCAGGTTGGTGCTGTTTTCACACATGACCTTCCCTGGTACAAGAGGTGTGGGTTCAGCCACCTCTCTCATGGCCCAGGAAAGATGCCAGAATCTCTGGCTCAGTGTCTACCAGGTAAACCACTTTCAAAACAACATGGCAGCATTTACCCTGGATCAAAAGGCTTTGAGGTGCTTGGGGTAATGGTGGTTCTCAGGAGTTGGTGGATGAGACCATCACCAATAGCAAGGTTCAAGAAATGGGGCGGCACCACCAGCTCCAGCATTGTGCCCCTCATGCATCTTTTACAGCATCCAGTAAATTGACCAAGTGTGCCATAAAGCTGGCTGGACTGTGTGTTCATTGTCATCTGATAACTGTCACTGACAGAATGGTCCAGTGACATGGACACATACCTATCACATAATGGTGAAGGGCAAGGACAGCAATCTGGGCAAAATAATGGAGGCTGTGTATAGCACAGACAGTAAACTCGTAGAAGGGGGAGCTTGGCTGCCCAGGAGTGCCCATCATCTTTTGCATCCTAACAATGTCCCTTTTCCCAATGATCTTAGTCATGGCTCTTATTACAGAGCATGTTCCTTTCTTTTGAATGAATTGCTTACCATCTCCCATACACTGGAAAGGTATACACAGGGAAAAAAAAAACAGTAATACTGCAACAGTCAAGAAAAGTTACATTTAGCGAAGTGCTGTCTCCTCAGCAACATGTGTAACATAGTGTTATGTATAGACAATAGAACGGCTTTAGGATCAAAACCCAAACATGTAAGACCTCAAACTTGTGTGACCAGCACATGCAGGTGTATTTGATTGCAGATTGCTGCCTATTTCAGCACCAAATATAACTGGTATCCATAACAGTGAAATTTTAAAATGTGATGTAAAACATTAGAAAACCCAAGGTGAGTTTCAAACAGGTTATATTAGTTTACAAATTCTAAATTAAAAAAAATCCCATTCCCTATCCAACAACTCCATCCATTTGTAATTCGCTTCATGTAATAATAAGTGAGCCCTTTCTAGAGGCAAGCACAATATATACTTGTGTCCAGAAAAAAAACAAACATTGTGCCTGCTTCCAAACTGGCAGTACAATTGCTATTTGCATTTGAAGAACAGCATACACAGAGGCATTTCTACAATTGCTTATACATGTTCACACATTACAAAAAATATGTTCAAAATGTTACCCAACAGTATTTGAAATATGTATGGTCAGTGCCAGGAAGGTGGTTTTGAGCATTGCTAATACCCTAGAGTTGTGGGGAAAAAGGGCATACATTTAATTAGGGTGCAGCGCTGCATGACCGCGCAATTGTTAAAGTAACACAGCGCCGTCACACAAAAAATGGCCTGGTCAGGAACGGGGGTAAATCCTCAGGAGGGCAAGTGGTTAATTTTTTTCAAACTGATGTTTATACATTTTGCACACAAACACTTTATTTCCCAAAATAACACTTAAAGTAGGGCTTGACAAATTTGCTTTAAAGTCAGCTAAAAAAAGTTAGGAGCCAGGTTTTTTTTAGCGTAGCGTGGGTTGGCAAGGCTACTTTTGAATGTCAGGCTTCAAGCAATGCGTTTTGCCACGCAACAATAACGTTGAAAACAATGGCACCTGAACTGCGTTTTGAGATCATAGTGATTCTGCCACAATGCTAAAATGCCCAAGTGTGAATGGAGCCACCCTGGTTCACACATATGCCATTCTGGATACATTTTCAAACTCACAGATTTGCATGGCAGGCTAGATATTATGTGTTCCTATTAAGGTGGTTCACACAGATGCAGATTACACGCACGTGTTTTGAGTGCCATTACGAAAAGGGTCCTGTGCGAGTTTGTAGTAGTGTGTCCCAGACTCGCAAGTGATAGAGTAGAGTAGCATGCATAGATAAGTGTTCAGGATTGAAATTGACAGGAAATTTTGCATTGAAGACAATGGGACGTGTTTTTGGATTTAAGTCAATGAGAGGCGATTTTGCATTGAAGTCAATGGGAGGCGATTTTGCATTGAAGTCAATTGGATGATAATTGCATTGAAGTCAATGGAGGCAGTGTATGAACCCAGGTGCCAGGACACAATTTCTAGTCACCATGGCGACCTGGCAGCTGGGATTTATCGAGTCCTGACTTAAAGGGTATGTAAAGCTAAACATTTTTATCGTAAGAATAGGAAAGAGTTAGAATCCCTGTCTTTTCCTTATTGGTGTCTTTGTCCTTATTGAAGAGATTCATTCTATCAGTTTGCCCTAGCAAACCATTGTCACTAAGAGGAAATGTGACAAAAAGCCAAGATTTTAACCAGTTCCCGACTGCCCTATAGCCAAAAGACAGCTACAGTGTGGTCGGCTAGTTTTGAGAGGGCGTCCATAGACGTCCTTCCAGAACCACATCCCTGTGCACACTCTGTGATCATTGTGTCCTTCAGACACAGCTGATCATGTGTCCAATTAAAGGGCCAATCAGAGCTTCCTTTTACCATTTGACCAGCTGTGTCTAATCACAGCTGATCACAGTGTAAATAGCAAATGCTGGTTATTGGCAGTGCTCTCCTCACGCGCTGTCAGCATGAGGAGAATAGAACCGGTAAGCAACATTTCTCAGGGGGACATCTACACTGCTCATCTGGACACTGATGATCAGTGCCTGATGATCAGTGTAGCTGTCATCAGTGTGGCCAATAGTACCCATCAGTGCCCATCTGTGCTGGCTTTCAGTGGCGATCTATGCTGGATTTCAGTGCCTATCTGTGCTAGCTATCATTGGACATCTTTGCTGGCTTTCAGTGCCCATAAGTGCTGGCTCTCGGTGCCTCCTCAGTGATGCAGTCATTGCCCACCTGTTCTGCTTATCAGTGCCGCTTATCAGTGCCCATCAGTGCCGCCCAGGGGCGGACTGACCATTTGGAAACTTGGGCACTGCCCCAGAGCCCGGGGTCAGTAGGGGGCCCCATGAGATGCCCCTGGTACCTTTTTCATAGGCTTTTTTGAGTTTGGGCAAGGACACAAGGGCCCCATGATCCCCTATTGCCCGGGGGCCCCATGAGTTGTCAGTCCGCCCCTGTTAGGGACTGATGTGAATATACAATATATGTAAAGCTCTGCGTAAATTGACGGCGCTGTATAAGTACCTGAAATAAATAATAAAATAAAATATGTATGTAAGTTAGGGACCTTAGATTGTACACCCCATTGAGGGTTAGGGACTGATGTGAATGTACAATATATATGTAAAGCGCTGCGTAAATTGACAGCGCTATATAAGTACCTGAAATAAATAATAATAAAGTTATGATATCAATATTCCTACTGATCCATGAATGTTATTGCACAGAGAGGCACTGAACCTCCTCTTCTGGGGTCCGCTCTAACAAGTGATAGGAAAATTGCAATTTGCAATGGATCTTGACCCAGATCTTAGTGAATGAGGTGAAGTTCTATCATCCAATCACGTGCAAACAAAAATGCTGTTTTTTATTTTCCTTGATCATGATAGGGTATTCTTTGCAAAGTTAAACCTCACCACATTCATTGATCTCTGGTGCACATTTTATTGCAGAGTGCAAATTTAATCTCAAAGTGAAGAGCCTATTTGTATTTAGTAAATCAACCCCCCTGTCACCAAATCATTCATTTTCACAACAAAGGTTCCCATAAGGTTTTATTTGCTTTTATTGTATTTTACTAATGTGAATTTCCTGTAAAAGCCTCCCTTATGTAGACATCCAAAAGCCCTGAGGCTGCTGCGGGGGGGAATGTCATCTTGCATGTGATTTCAGCTACCCCACCAGACTCAAAGCTCCAGTCTCCTGATGACACCTATTACAATGAAACTCATTGGGTAGAGCTAGCAATGATGTCATCACGCCCACCGGCCAAGTGTGGCAGTGCTATGAGCAGTTGACTCTGCTTACTTTTGTGAGTAGCTGTCTGCTTTAACTTGCACTGTATTACACTATTGCCGCCTTTGTTTTCCTTTTTGTTCATGTGTTCCTGTGGATGAATTTGTTCAACTTTTGAGTACGTCCTATACTGTAAACTAACTTGCTGATAAAGTGACATGGATGTCAAAGAAATAAAAAGCTATTTAATCCCTCCCCATCTCCCTCCTTTTTTTTTTTGTCCTTTTTTTTTCTCTCTCTTTTTATTTCTATTCTGTTTCTTATTCACCCCCCTGCAGCTGAATGACCCTTGAATATAAACTTTAGCATGGCCTAATGGCTTCCCTTTTTGCGGCTATGATGTTTGCTCCGCAGATATTATTTTGCCCTTAATAGGAGATTTTCTGTGCTTGATTAATATCATATGTTGTAGGGTTTAGGGTATTTTATACCATTTTTTGGCTATTGGCCTACATTTCACTTGTACACCATTTTTCTTTCTTGTATTGAGCATGCTTTATACTTCTATTAACTCTTTTCTCATTTATTGTCTTCAATTCTTTATGGTAACATGATTGCTACTTGCACTTGTAATTTGTTGTATAACATAAATAAAAAAATGTATGCTCTTTGAACCTACCATGACATAAAGGTCTTACTATCCAGTAAGAAGTGTGTGGACCTGGTGGTGTGGGGAAGAGCAGCTGGCTGTGTAACACTAAAGGACACCTTAGTACATCACGTTTATGTCAGATTCCTCACTTACGTATGTATTTATGGACTTGGTTAATGTATTTATTTCACTTTGATGTATTTTGCATTTGCATATTTTGCTCTCATTCTATATATGTGTTTTTAATTGATTTTTTTTTTTTTTTGATCTGTTCACAGTTAATGGGATATTTTTATATAGACTGAAAGCTATCACTCAATTGACACATTATGGTATTGCCCTTTTCTCTTCCCCAGCAGATACATAAAAGGCTAAGTAAGGAAGTGAGGGGAGGGGTGGATAAGCTGCCAAAACAGTAATTTAGACACTTCCAGTTCAGCAGGGGGCTATGACACACAAGAAGGGAAGGAGCCGTGTAAGTGAATTAAAAGACAAATATGGCCAAAGCGTTTCTGGCTACACTTCTCTTGTGGGTCACAGGAGTGCACTTACTTTTGTACTCCTGTAACCCAGAGTCAGCTGACAGCGGGTTATAGCCCGCTATCAGCTGACATGGCAGAGCAGCTTCATACTCTGAAAGGAACCAGACAATATTGACAGAATCCACCCAACTACCTGATATTCAGCTGACTCTCAGCTAGCTTAGCCTGCCCTCTCTCCAGCCCGGTGCTCCAATGAGTGCTAAGAGGAACAGAGCAGAGAGCAGTGACAGACAGTTGGTGCTCTCTGCTCTAAGCAGACTAAGACCTGAGATATTAGTGGTCATGTGATCACTCAGTTCTCGGGCTAAGAGCCAACGTGGGACAGCTACAGCATCATAGCGATGCTGCAGCATAGAGTTGAGTATCTGTTTTTTTTTTTTTAATAAATTAACCACTTGCCTACGGGCAGTTTTATCCCCTTCCTGCCCAGGCCAATTTTCAGTTTTCAGCGCTGTTGCACTTTGAATGACAATTGTGCAGTCATTCAACACTGTACTCATATGAAATGTTCATGATTTTTTTCACATACATAGAGCTTTCTATTGGTATTTAATCACCACTGGGTTTTTTTTTTATTTTTTTTGCACTATAAACAAAAAAAAAGCAAACAATTTGAAAAAAAAAAGTATTTCTTTGTTTCTGTTATAAAATTTAGCAAACAGGTACATTTTCTCCTTCACTGATGTGCGTTGATGAGGCTGCACTGATAGGCAGCACTGATAGGCACTGATAGGCAGCTCTAATGGGCACTGATAGGCTGCACTGATGAGGCGACACTAGTGCCCTGATTATCAGTGCAGCCCCAAAAGTGCCCAGCAGTGGCACCCATCAGTGGTCAGCAGAGCTGTCTATCAGTGCTCAGCAGTGCCACCCATCTTATGGACACAGCAATCACAGACAGTGCCGGGGGCACACTGCTGGGGGCGCACAGGGGGCACGTTCTGGGAAGATGTCATATGACGCCCTCCCAGAACTGGACAACCGTGCTGTAGTCATTATTCAGCTACAGCCCGGTTGTCAAGTGGTTAACCCGAACTTCTCCTTTAAAGTCAATATTTACAAAACTTACTGTATGAAAGTTCTCAACTCCTTGACTAAATTGGCCTCAAAGTGTAAGCTTAGACAGTTGGCAAAGCAAAGATCAAGTGACCTCTCAACCCTGACACACAAGCTGAAGAGTCAGGTGCAAAGAAAGAAAATCGAAATAATGGGGCAAATACAGACCTTTCATAAATATCTCTGAACAATTGTAATTATCTGAGACTGCACATTCAAATTCAGAATATCAAGATAGAAAGCTGCATATGTACTATATACAAATTTAACAGTTATTTTCTCTTAAGTGTCAATTATTATTATTATTATTATTATTATTATTAATAATATTATTATTATTATTATTATTATTATTATTATTAAAAGAATGTCAAACCCCAAAAAGCAAATTTGCATATGTCAAAAATGATATACTTTCAGCATTGCACTGGTTAAAGGTTAAAGAAGTTTTCTTTCTGCTCTAGGGGGATGTGAAAGGCCTGACCCTCTGTCTGGACAGTGCTGATTGGCCCTGTGCTGATCACATGCACTCTCCAAGAAAATAAAAAACTTCTCTAGCAATACACACCAAAACTGAGCATGTGCATGTGACTGCATGTTCAGTCTGTATCAGGTGGTCATTTCAACAAGAGGAGGGCCAGAGAAAGGATCAAACAGCTTTTTTATACAATGCAGAGGATTAACCCTTTAGGTTTCACAGTGAGTATAACAAGCATGCTTTACTGCATATACAGACTGATTTTACTGTTGTGGGTTTAGTAACACTTTAAAGTCAAAGTAAAAAGAATGCCTTTAGAGTTCACTGGTGTGAAAACTGGTGATCCTCCAGCTGTTGCCAAACTAAAAGTCCCATGAGGCATTGCAAGACTGATGGATACAAGCATGACTCCCAAAGGCAGAGGCATGATGGGACTTGTAGTTTTGCAATAGCTGGAGGACCACCAGTTTGACACTTCTGCACTAGACTATTCTGGGAAAAAAACTTAGTACCACTTCTCGTAGCAGTACACCCACATCGGGTAAACCACACCCCATGCCATTAAACTATGCCTGCTTTGTATATTTTAGCTGTAAATGTTTAGGTTATAGAACATTATTTTTAGGGGTATAGGTGTCCGTTTATGACACAGAGAATAGCTGCGATTCAGAGGTTCGCAGCTATTCTCTGGTCATTCACAGTTTATGACTAGAGATGAGCGAATTATTCAAAAATTCGATTCGGCTGATTCGCCGAATTTGAGGAAGAAATTCGATTCGATGCGAATTTATTCGCTACGAATTTAACTTATAAAAGGGTTTCTAGGCTTCAGAGAGCCTTTATATTAGTGCAGAACACTGTACCTTTAATTTAAATGCCCTTGGAGATGAGGAAGGAGAAGGAGAAGGAGAAGGAGAAGGATGAGAAGAAGGAGAAGGATGAGAAGAAGGAGAAGGAGAAGGATGAGAAGAAGGAGAAGGATGAGAAGAAGGAGAAGGATGAGAAGAAGGAGAAATGAGAAGAAGGAGAAGGAGAAGGAGAAGGATGAGAAGAAGGATAAGAAGAAGGAGAAGGAGAGAAGGATGAGAAGTAGGAGAAGGAGAAGGATGAGAAGAAGGAGAAGGATGAGAGAAGAAGGAGAAGGATGAGAAGAAGGAGAAGGATGAGAAGAAGGATGAGAAGAAGGAGAAGGATGAGAAGAAGGATGAGAGAAGGAGAAGGATGAGAAGAAGAAGGATGAGAAGAAGGAGAAGGATGAGAAGAAGAAGAAGAAGGATGAGAAGAAGAAGAAGGATGAGAAGAAGAAGAAGGATGAGAAGAAGGAGAAGGATGAGAAGAAGAAGAAGGATGAGAAGAAGAAGAAGGATGAGAAGAAGGAGAAGGATGAGAAGAAGAAGAAGGATGAGAAGAAGAAGAAGGATGGAGTGTGTATGGAGTGAATGTATGGCCTATTTCTGACAGTTCTCTGACATTCAC